TGATGGTTAGCATTATATGTTCATGTGCCTGTATTTCTCAATATCATACTACTATTTTATGTATTGTAAAAGGAGCTCTGGCAAGCTCTGGTGGCCTAGTGGCAAGAAGCTGCACTGCAAGCCCAGAGGTGCGCGGTTCAAATCCACCAGATGCTCTGCTGGAGAAGGAGGAACAATCTCCTCCTGTACCAGTCAGATCTAATTTGACGGTACACACACACACACACACACACACACACACACACACACTAAAAAATTAAAAAAAAAAAGGGAGCTCTGATAGTTTCCGTAGAGTTGTGCAATTCTAATCCACCATCTAGTGTAAGGCACTGTCCTGTGTGGTTTACAGCCTGGGAAACCTGGAGAGTCAGCTATGAGTCAATCTTAACAGCAGTAAGTTTTTTTAGAGAGATACAAAGTAGGGGAAGTTGGTTTAGGGGTGTGGTCTCCATTGAACACATGTACAAAGGCTCTAGTACAGTCTGACAGTTTATTACTATTTTGGATCCGACATCAGGTTCACCACCTCTGACGCCAGCAGTCTGCTGCTCTTAGATTCTTCTGTACCCACAGATCTCTCCTGGTGCCTGACTCACAAACCTTGGACTTATTAGTCCTCTAAAAGCATGAGTCATTTCCATAGAGTAAATATTCCTCTTAAGCCTCACTGGTTGTATTTCTCTTAGAGAATCTAGCCTTAGATCTCTTAGATTATCCAGCAAAGGGTGATCTTTTTTTAAATGCAGTGGTAAAGAATTTGCTTGAACTATGTTCTAATGTTTGGTGATAGGCAGAACTTGCAACTGATTAACTTGGAAATCTGGCTGATGAGATTTCCAAGCAAGGTCAAGTGGTTTTTCAATGATGCTTACAGTGAAATAGGAAAGAGAACATTTTTAAAGAAACAGAAGAAATGAACTGTGCAAAATGAAAATATAACTTTAAGATTTGGAAAATTCTAGGGAGCTCTGGTCGCCTAGTGGCAAGAAGCGGCACTGCAATCTCAGAGGTTATGCGGTTCGAATCCACCAGATACTCTCTGCTGGAGAAGGAAGGGCAATTGCCTCCTATACCAGTCAGATCCGGTTTGATGGTACACACAAAAAAGAATATAAAAAGAAAATTTGGAAAAATTCTGTTATACAAACTAAGGAAGTTATGTCCTAGAATGTTCACTATGGATACTGTATAATCTATAATTGATAGAGCTAATCAACTCCCATAGCATAAAACCCATCAGCTTGAAAAAAAAAAATGTGGAAGGAAACCTCAGCCTCTTGGGCCTTTACAGGCAGGGTACAGGGCTAAAGCTGTTGTCCTTTAAAGAAAGAACAATGGAAGGCAGAGCTTTCTTAGTTTCAAAGTTAGATCTTTGCCAACTTGACTACAAAGTGTGGGGCTGTCATTAAAGTGTTCCAGGGACAGGGCTACCACCAAAAACTGAGGGTTCAGAGATACCTTGTCAAGGAGGCAATAGAATCTGTCAAAGCTGAGAGAATGTTGGGGGTAGGGAGCTCCACTCCTCAGATGGGCTGCTTTAGGGCTGCCTAAAGCTAAGAGAGTTGCTATCCTCATGTACCTGAAAGGCAAAGCTGAGGGTTTCCACATAGAATCTGAGTTAATGGTCACCCTGGAAGGCAGAGTCATTATACAGATGATCTTGAGTTGAAGCCTTGAGTTAATCCTTTGCTGTGTTCTAAACTTCCTTGGTGCCCACTATGCCATTCCTACACCCTGTGTTCAGAGAATGAAACTAGACAGATGATGGCCTGATCCAAGGTTACTTGTCTGTTCAATGAAAGATAGCATATCCTATTGTATTTGGTGCTGGAAATACAGAACTGTCCTGGTGTCTGTTTGCAGAGTTGACATCCTAGTACATGGCTTTAATTGTAGATTTCATGTAATTGTTTCTCACAGAACATTTTTTATGATTTTAATAGAATTCTCACGCTGCTGTAACAAATACAATAGGATGGGTTTTCAATCTGGTTTTGTTTAGAAGGCTAGAAGTCTGAATTTAAGGAAAAGCTTTCTCTGTTCTCTCTAGAAGGTCCTTGTTCCTACTCACGGGCTATTTTCATCTCTTCTCCATCTGCATTTCTCATTTGTTGAGTCTCATTTCTCAAAAGAGACTGATTCAAAATGCATCCTACACTATTTCTCCCTTGTGAACTGAGCTAACAAATAGGTCTATCTTAGACAGGGTGAAAACAAGTTCCTCCTTGGAAGCTAGGATTTTGAAGCTCCATCTCACATACTTTGGGCATGTGGCCAGGAGAGACCGGTCCTTGGAGAAGGACCTCATGCCTGGAAGGGTAGAGGGACAGCACAGGAGAGGAAGACCCTGAACGAGAAGGATTGACACTAACTGGGGCAATGGGAGTTGCTATGTTGGAATTAGTGAGACTGGCTCAGGACAGGGCAGGCTTCAAAGCTGCTGTACATAGGGATGCTATGGGTCACAGGCACATAATGATATGGGTCGATGGCACATAACAACAATATACATATAGATAATAAGTTTTACAACAGAATTTGGGAAGACACCTCATCCCTCCTTTGTTCATTCCCCGCAAAAAAGAATGTCTCTGTCACATGCAATACAAAGTTCACCCTATCACATCACCTCAAGTCTTAAATAAGAGCATCATATACAGAAGAGCCTTTAGTAGTATACCATTCGGGGCAAATTCCTCTTCACTGGTGAGCCTGTAAAATCTAGATCACAGGTATCTGCTTCCATTACAAATGGGAGAAACTGGAAAGAAAGGGATAACAATGGGCACATGTGCAGGGCTGGTGTCGATTTATTAAAGCACTTACAGCATGCACAATTGTCTGGAGCCATGGACTGGAGTTGTTGGGTGTTATCAAATTGAGTAAGACCCATAGCAATACTATGAACAATAGATCTAAACCTTGTCCTATATCCTGTGCCAGCCTCATCATCTCTGACAGCAGTTACTGGGTCAATTCTTCAGGTTAATCCATCCTCTCTTCTGCAGACTCTCTACTTTTCCAAGCATGAGGTTCCTCTCCAAAGAACAGCCCCTACCAACATGAACAAAGTATCTGAGGCAAAGCTTTGTCATCTTTGCCTTCAAGGAGCATTCTAACTGCACTTTCTCCAGGATATAGGCAGTCCATGGGACATTCAGTACTCTTCTCCAGCACAACTCATCAGGTTTATGAAGTGTTATTTTCCTTTTAAGGGAGGGTATGGGAGCACGTTCACCCCCCAAGCTGATTGCTTTTTAAAAAATAATTTTTATTTATTTATTTTTTTTTTTGATGTGCGTACCATTAAATTTGGATCTGACTGGTATAGGAGGTGATTGTTCCTCCTTCAGCAGAGCATCTGGTGGATTTGAACCACGCACCTCTGGGACTGCAGTGTAGTTTCCTGCCACTAGGCCACCAGAGCTCACCAGGTGATTGAATCTTTTCCTGTATGGCCCTAGTGGGCCATAAATTTTGCCCAGCCCTCTCTGCCCAAAGTTTAAGAGAAAAATAAAGTGATTAAGGAAGCACCAACGGCAAGCCTTCTCTTATGACAGCATCAGACGACGGTTTCAAAATATATTAGATTTGGTTTTTATTGTAGAGCATACATCTCAGGGCAAAGTGCTGCAAATACAACTACAAATCATTTTTTTGGGGAAAAAAGCTGTTTAAAAAACACACACACACACAAAAAAAAAAACAAAAACAAAAAAAACCCAAAAAACAAAACCCTACAATTGCTTTAGTTATGCAATCTACACTTGATGAATTTACACTGGCAAAGGGGTTCTGGTCCCTGAGAGGGACTTCTTGATAGTGGCCACCCCTGATTTCTCAGCCTCAGCCCCACAATAAGGTCTGATGGAATGGTGAAACACAAGGGCTGGGGGTCTCTGCTTTCAGGCAGGCCCCAGATGACATGAAAGATTCCTAAGGAGTCTAGATTTGCAAAACCTAGCAGCCTTCAAGTATCTGAATGGGTTGAAACTGCCGAAGACTTTATATATTGTTTATTTCTTTTATTTAAGGATCTCCCACAGCTCTCATCACTCCCTCCACAGAAGAGGGGCATCCATCTGGTCTGAAGGCATGGGCCCTGGCCCTGGCTACTGGCACAGCTCAGAACGCCTCCCAAGAGAATACGAGAAGGCTCAAGTTGGCCAATGCAGGAGGGGGAAGGAAAAGGAAAAAGGCAGGAGACCAAAGGAAAAATGAAAAACAAAACAAACAAAAACAAAACCCCTACCACACACCACAATAGTTCATACTTCACATGCTAGACTTAGGAGGACATCAGTCCCTCTAGCTAGAAACAATCCTAAAGTGACCTGACAGGCAATGCAAGTCTTAAATGCTCCCATACAACCACACACATACATTGTAAAGAATTAACCTAGCAAAGAGGTGTGCTTTTGGCAAAGAGGGGCCAGGACATGGCAGCCCTGGGCAGCCACAAGAACTATGGGCAGAGCATGTCAGTAGTCTCAGCAATAGCTTAGGTGACAAGGATGGGCTCTATTTGCATCTTACCCAGTCAGCTTGAACAACTCTGCCACAGAAGAAAATGATATTTGCATGAGCTTCCACGACCTGGAAAGCTGGCGGAAGTGGGATGGCAGCAGAGCCAGGGTTGAGCAAGCAGAGGTGGCAAGGATCCCAGAGATCTCAACCAAGTGCAGATGTCATTGGAGGAAAAAGTAGAGCAGAAAGATGAAACTTGTTTAAGGTACTGAAAAGATTTAAATTTTAAAGCAAACCAGAAATTTTCTTAACTAAACCCAGTCTAATACAGCCCCACATGAGGACAGCCACCCTCTATGTGGCCACTTCAGAGTCAGCTTCTGTGCTCAACAGCCAGCAACTTTTCCATCCAGGAAGAAAATATGGGGACCTAAGTCCTGGCCGACTCTATTCAGCCTGAATAGACAACAACTTGGGGGGGGGGGGAAGGGGGGAGGGAGGGAGAAAATGCAGGATCAAAATAACAAAAAACAAAAACCATCAAAACAAGGAGGGACAGCTATGTGAGGATGAATCAAAGTCTCCCAGAGGGAAGTAGGCCATGGGCCTCAGTGCCTCCTCATCTTCACCTTCCGAGTAGGGCTGCTGGACACCTCTGAGCAGTCCTCTGCAGACTCGTAGGACTTGCGCCAGTAGTTCTCTGAGCTGAAGCTTCCCCTCCGCCGGTGCGTGGGCAGTAGCACTGAGCGTCGATTCTCTTCCTTGTCCATCTCCAGGATCCGCGGCCTGCAAGGAAGCAAGCACATGATCTGACAGGTACCTCACTGAGGGGATAGGGTGTTTCAGCTCCAAGATTACCAGGAGAGATGTGTTGGGTAGATGCAATGACATTTTAAGTCCTGGTCCACTAAATGCCAGTGACCACACAGTCTCTGAGGTTCTCATAGAGTCTGATTGGCTCTGATGGGTCAAAGATATTGCCTTGGATGCGGAACAAAGCATTTTTCTACCACAGCGTCAGAACTACGTCTCTGTTCCTCCCTGATCTCCTTTCCTATACTCTAACACCCCTAGGTCCTGAAACCACAAATGTTCCTCTATCTTTTTAGCCTCAAGATTTGGCCCACACAGCAACAGAATGGCTAGAGTAGAATGACTTTCCAACACATCTTCCTCATCCTTCTAGCCTTTGCCTAAGTACAACCTCTTCAGAAAACTTTCCCATCTGAAATAGATACCTAATCTATAATTCCCCAATACTGACTTCTCTCGAACATGAAGTATGAATCCCTAAGAGCATCTGTCTAGATGAGAGGGATCAAATTAGAGAAGACATGGAAAAGTCATGAGGCATTCCTATCTATGTCTATACCAACTCTTTCTCCCTAGAGGTGTACACAGCTGGCTGGAGGTTAAGTGGACCCACACCACCTACCTAAAAAACAAAAGTGAGACTCTGAAGGATGGGAAATCCAGGTTCTTAATGAGCCAATGCTCCAAGCTTCCCACCCACCTCACCTGCAACTACTGCCCTGAAGCTGGCCTTTACAAGGGGCCCAGCCAAGTACCTGTGGGCGGCATCAGGGTCTGCCTTGCGGTGGGACCGCTTGGGTTTCAGAGCAGGGTCCCTGTTGTTTCCCAAAAGACGATCTGAAGCATAGTTGGGTGGCAACACAGAGCTGCTCAGGGACTTTGTTTCCAATCGAGGAGCATCTAACCTTGTCCTGCAAAAGGAAATAGTATGGTGTTGGCAAGAGACTTCAAGCTAATTTCCCTGAGACAGACTCAGCTGAGGCCTGGCTACAGTTCAGTTACCTCTACTCTGTGCCTCAATCAGTCTCCTCCTGGCTTAAGCAGGGATTTATGTAGGTGACTTATGGTCAAGGGAGCATCAGAGAACATTTTTTTTTAAATTTTTTATTGTATTATTTTTACATGTACCGTCAAATCAGATCTGACTGGTACAGGAGGAGATTGCCCCTCCTTCTCCAGCAGAGCATCTGGTGGATTTGAACCCCGTACTTCTGGGATTGCAGTGCAGCGTCTTGCCACTAGGCCACCAGAGCTCCCTGAGAACATTTTTATGTAGAGACTGCCAATGGTTTGTACATGTCATCTTAGGGAAAGACCCAAGGGCACTGACAGAATAAAACAGCCCTACCTTACTCCATTCAGGTCCAGAGGTTCTCTTGAGGAATCTGTTCCAATGAACCAAGGACAGAGGGCCCCACTGACAGGCACCAGCATGCTCAAATAGATGTCTAGAAACTGCTGGCCAGGTTAGAACAGTAAGTCCAAAGACAAGAAGGCAGAGCCCCAGAGCTGTCTCAAGTCCTCACTCCCAAGGACCTGGACTGATCACATTTACTTCCAGATAGATTGTCACCTCTGCCTCTTTCTCTGGCCTACCTATTGCCCAAGCATCCTTTAATCTTTGGGGAATTTCCTTTGGAAAGACTTACTTCAATTCCAATACCTTCTGGTGAGATCTCTAACTTTTTTTCTCAGTTTTGTATCATTCCAGACTAAAAGTAGTATGCTCATACTGCCTTCTGAGACAAGAAGCCAGACGTGCCTTTGTGGTACGTCAACTTTGTGCAGAAAAGGAAGATCCAGTTAAGGGAGTATGGCTTAGTATGTTAAGATGAAGATGATTGTCAGGGTAGGATAAGTTAGTATTTGAGTTGAGTGAATTTTATGTTTATATATAGCTAAGATGTTAAGATTGAGGAATTTTATTCTGCCCATTGTTGAGATTTTTGTTGGATGTTTCTCTTACAAATGTCCTCTGCAGTATGGCTCAGTAGGCTTGACAAGCAGTAAACCCCTCAAGCTGATAGACCCAGACAGCCACCGTATTCAGAAAATAATGAGCAATATTGGTCTGCGCCAGAGACAAATGTAGCCTGGCTATACCGTTCCCCCGGAGGATGGACTGCACATCTGAGGGAATAAGTGAACGGATAGGCAAGTCCGGGCGCATTTAACAGGCAATGGCCATGGTCCCCCATGATGCTCCTTTGATGGTCCTTGCAGCTCCCCATAGTGTGGAGCGCGAACATCTAGCGTTCTGCAAAATGGAGGCTTGATGTACGAAGGCTCGGACCGGGTCAAGAGCATAATGGAGAGAGAGCCTAAAATGAAGAACAGAAGATGCTGTCACTCATGGGTCTCAAAACAAAAAAGGGGGAACTGCAGGAGCTGCAGGTGCTGACGTGTCAGGAAGCATGAA